AGACGGAGGTTGTAAGAGATAGAGAGACGCCGTGAGGCAGCACGGCCGAGAATGGATAGAAATAAAATTATAGAATGGCGCACTTGTCTATAAAGGTACCTTTCGTCACTTCCTTTGAGTCACAGTTATACAGTAAAACTATACCTTCATAGAAAGGACACTTGTCTATAAAGGTACCTTTCGTCACTTCCTTTGAGTCACAGTTATACAGTAAAACTATACCTTCATAGAAAGGACACTTGTCTATAAAGGTACCTTTCGTCACTTCCTTTGAGTCACAGTTATACAGTAAAACTATACCTTCATAGAAAGGACACTTGTCTATAAAGGACACTTGGCATTTCATTTCACATGCCAGAAGAGAGATGGAGCTCGTTAGAGATGGAGAGAGAGAGAGACGGAGGTTGTAAGAGATAGAGAGACGCCGTGAGGGAGCGACCACACGCGCTGCCGGGAGAGAGAGACGGAGGTTGTAAGAGATAGAGAGACGCCGTGAGGGAGCGACCACACGCGCTGCAGCACGGCCGAGAATGGATAGAAATAAAATTATAGAATGGCGCACTTGTCTATAAAGGTCCCTTTCGTCACTTCCTTTGAGTCACAGTTATACAGTAAAACTATACCTTCATAGAAAGGACACTTGTCTATAAAGGACACTTGACATTTCATTTCACACGCTGCCAGAAGAGAGATGGAGTTCGTTAGAGATGGAGAGATGGAGAGACGGAGGTTGTAATAGATAGAGATATGGTGTGAGAGAGCGACCACACGCGCTGCCAGGACAGAGATGAGAGATGGAGGTCTCTAGGTCACAATCGCGTGCCAACGACGCAGCACAAGATGTTAGAGTCGGCTTCTTGTTATACAATTCGCGAAGCGGGGGGGTGGCATGTTTGTGATGCGGGTCGAGTGTTTACGATGCAGGTGGCTGGTTGGTTAGCGGGCCAACGCTTTCGGTTCTATTGCCAGAGATTGACTTCCAACAATCGCGTGCCAACGACGCAGCACGAGATGTTAGATTCAGTTTAACGGCTTCTTGTTATATAATTCACGAGGCGAGGGTAGCGCGGGTGTTTGAAATGCAGGCGGAGACTTGGTTCAAGCGGGTTGTAACGTTTTCAGTTTTATATGTATAAATAATATAAATAATATATATGCAAGAGATTGTATTCCAACGAACGCATACCAATGAAGCAGAACAAGACGTTAGACTGAATTGAACGGCTTTTTGTTATATGACTTGCGAGGCAGAGTTGCGGGTGTTTATACCGCAGGTTGCGAGTCAATTTAAGTGGTTAACGTTTACGGTTTTACAGCAAGAGCTTGTATTCCAACAAACGCATATATACCAATGAAGCAGCAGAATATGTTAGACTCAATTTAATGGCTTTTTGTTATACAATTCGAGAGGTGAGGGCGGCGCGTTTGAGATGCACGCGGGAAGTCAATTTAAACGAATTGAAGTCTTTCCGGTTTTGTTTTGCGAAAGATCGTGTTCCAACAATCGCTTGCCGAAGACACAACATAATATGTCAGAGAATTGGCCTCGTGAATTTATAATTAATGGCTTTCTGCCAAGTAACTGTCGGATAGACTACTACACTTTTATCGATCCTACTCATCAAAGTTCTTCACAAAAATTGCTTATTTAGATTTTCCCACATCAATTTCAGGCAATTCTTATTATTACTTCAAACAATTCGATTAAGCTAAGACCCAGATTGCAACCAGCGAGCACAAAATAACAAAATTTCTTTTAAAGCCCTGGTTGTTGGGCCTCGAATCCCAGCCCCAGAACATCGGTTTACTGACGAAATTTTTCTTTTATTCAATAATTTTTTTAATTAATTTAATACATTAGCTAATGCTAACAACTGGGTCGTGAACAACCGAGTATAACAGCGATGTAACTAGGTGTTCGTACCTCCTGCGGGGCGACCAGCTCCGTCGCGAACGCACCCATGCAGAGCCCCACCACCTTCTCGCCAGCGGTGAACCTGCTCACGTCTGCACCCACCTCGACCACCTCCCCCGAAAACTCGATACCTGCAACACGCGCACGGCCGACCGATCACAGACAGGTAGCTATACTAACGATCTACCTTCTACCATCACGGTCAAATCAGCATTAGCAATCACTTCTTATAGAACAGACACCTGTCTATAATTATAAAGGACAGTTTCGTCATTTCCTTTGAGTCGCACTTATACGGGGAAACTTCCTCTATAGAATACAGGATGTATTTTATTGCGTATAAAGGACACTTGTCTATAAAGGAGACTTGGAATTCTCCCCCTTAAGTTACAGTCATGAATTGAAACCACCTCTAAAAGAACCCACACCTGTCTATAAAGGACAATTGTTTGTAAAGGACACTTTTGGCATTTCTCTTAGGCCACAGTTAAACATTGAAACTGCCTCTATAAAAGGGAGATCTGTTTATAAATGACACTTTTGGGATTTCTCCTTCTAGGGACCATACTAACCAGGACTGACTGTAGTTACATTAAACGCATATTACACTAGGATACCACCAAGGCAAAATAAGTTCCAATATAAACACCCGTCCAGCAATTCGGCATGTTATCTTCCACGAAAATAGCACATTACACACCCACGATAGTGATCTATTGCAAGTTCAGTGCAAATGCTTATGCAAGCCTATAGTGGAATGAAGTTCCCAACCAACCAGGATGGATTCCAGAAGGTGAAAACACGTGGCAGCGTACAGCATAGGTGTAAAAATAAAGGTACAAGCTACTGTAGGTGTAGGAAATCGCTACTAGGCTACAGGCTAGGTGTAAAATAGGTACAGAGTCTACTGTAGGCGTGAATAGACAGGCTACAGCTGGGTGTAAAATAGGTAAGAGCTACTGGTTAGGTGTAGAATAGCTACCAGGCTAGCAGCTAGGTGTAAAATAGGTACAAGCTACTGGTAGGTTAGAATAGTCTACAGGCTACAGCTAGGTGTAACATAGGTACAAGCTACGTGGTAGGTGTAGAATTAGCTACAGGCTACCAGCTGGTGTAAATAGGTACAAGCTATCTGCTAGGTTGTAGAATAGCTAGCAGGCTCAGCTGGGTGTAAAATAGGTACGCTAGTCTATATCGCTACGGTGGCTACAGCTACTGGCTGATTGAGAATAGGTACAAGCTACTGCTAGGTGTAGAATAGCTACAGGGCTAGCAGCTGGGGTGTAGAAATAGGTACAACTCTGCGTAGGTGTAGAATAGCTACAGGCTAACACTGGGGTGTAAAATAGCTAACAGCCTACTGCTAGGTGTTTAGGAATATGGTAAGCAAGCTACTGGTAGGGTGTAGAATAGGGCTAACAGGCTAGCTGCTAGGTGTAAGAATAGGTAGGCAAGCTACTTGGTAGGTGTAGAATAGCTAGGCAGCTACTGCTAGGTGTAAGAATAGGTACAAGCTACTCGCAGGTGTAGACATAGCTACAGGCTACTGCCGGTGTAAATAGGTAGCAAGCTACTGGCTAGGTGTAGAATAGCTACAGGCACAGCTGGGTGTATAGATAGGTAAGGCTACTGGTAGGTGTAGGAATAGCTAGTACAGGTACTGCTAGTGATATAATCGGTAGCAAGCTACTGGGTAAGGTGTGTAGAATAGGGCTACAGGCTACTGCTAGGTGTAGAATAGGTAAGCTACTAGTTAGGTGTAGAATAGCTACAGGCTAGGAATGCTGGGTGTAAAATAGGTACAGAGCTACTGTAGGTGTAGAATAGCTACTAGGCTAACTGGGCTCAGGGTGTATAATATAGTGTAGCAAGCTACTGCTAGGTGTAGAATAGGCTACAAGGCTACAGACTGGGTGTAAATATAGGCTACAGAGCTACTGGTAGGTGTAGAATAGCTACGAGGCTACTGCTGATGGTGTAGACAAGGTAGCAAGGCTTACTGCTATGGCTGTAGAATAGTACAGGCTAGCCAGCTGGGATGTAATAAAGGTAGCAAGCTACTGTCTAGTGTAGAATAGTAACAGGCTTACTGCCGGGTAAAATAGGTACAGCTACTGCTAGGTGATGATATAGCTCCAGGTCTACAGCTGGGTGTAAAATAGGTAGCAAGCTACTGGTGTTAGAATAGCTACAGGCTACTGCTAGGTGTATAATAGGTACAGACTACTGGTAGGTGTAGAATAGCTTACGGCTAGCTGGGTAGGTGTAGAATAGGTACAGCTACTGGGTAGGTGTAGAATATGCTGAGCAGCTACAGCTGGGTGTACAATAGGTACAAGCTATCTGGTAGGTGTAAGAATAGCTATCAGGCTACTGCTAGGTGGATAATAGGTCGCTAACTGGTAGGTGTAGAAGTAGCTACGGCTACTGCTAGGTGTATAATTAGGTATACAGCTACTGGTAGTGTAGATAGCCTACAGGTAGCTGTTGGTGTATAAGAGAATAGGTACCGACTAGTGGTAGGTGTAGAATGAGCTACAGGCTACTGCTAGGTGTATAATAGGTAAAGCTACTGGTAGGTGAGACATAGCTACCGGCTTACTGGTAGGTGTGAATAGGTACACAGCTAACTGGTAGGTGTGAATAGCTACACTACAGGCTACACTGGGGTGTAAAATAGGTACAGCTACTGGTAGGTGTGCAATGCTACAGGCTACTGCTAGGTGTATAATAGGTAGCAAGCGCTACTGGGTAGGTGTAGAATCGCACCCCCCCAGACCCCCCCCCCTGCCCCGAACGCCCCCCCCCGGCACCCTTTTACAGGCTACAGCTGGGTGTATGAAGTAGGTAACTATCGGTAGGTGAGAAAGCATACAGGCTAACTGGTAGTTAGAATAGGTACAAGCTACTGGTAGTGTAGATAGCTACAGGCAAAGCTGGGTGTAAATAGGCTACAAGCTACTGGTAGGTGTAGAATAGATACAGGCTACTGTAGGTGTAGAAAAGGTCAGCTACCTGGTTGGGGACGGAAGGGGGTGGGTGTAGAAAGGCTACAAGGCTACGCTAGGTGTAGAATAGGTACAAGCTACTGGTAGGTGTATGAATAGCTACAGGCTACTGTAGGTGTATGAAGTAGGTACAAGCTACTGTAGGATGTAGAATACTACAGGCTAAGCTGGGTGTAAAATAGGTAGCAAGCTAGCTGTAGGTGTAGAATAGCTACAGCTACCGCTAGGTGTAGAAATAGGTAGCAAGCTACATGTAGGTGTAGAATAGCTACAGGCCTACTGCTCGGTGTATAAATAGGTACATAGCTACTGGTAGGTGTAGAATAGCTACGAGGCTACTCGGTAGGTGTAGATATAGGTAAGCTACTGGTAGGTGTAGAATAGCTTAAGGCTCAGCTAGGTGAAAATAATAAGCTACTGTAGGTGTAGAATAGCTATACAGGCTACTGTAGTGTAGAACTAGGTACAAGCTATGGTCGGTGTAGAATAGCTACGGCTACTGCTAGGTTGTAGAATAGGTAGAGCTACTGGTAGAGTGTAGAATAGCTGACGGCTACAAGCCGGTGTATTAAATTAGGTAACAGCTACTGCTAGGTGTAGTAATAAGTTGTGAGCCTGTGTATGGACTTATTGATATATTACCTGATGTAAAGGGTGGCTTCTCCGTCACCTGGTATTCCCCTGGGCCGTGAGACCGGCGAAATTCACTCCCAGCATTCTTTACGGCAATTCTAACTGGCTGCGAAAACTGCAAGACGAGGTATGTAAGACGACGAAAACATCAGCCTCACCGCTTACTTATTTAAAGCGAGCATTTTATAAATCAAGTTGAAATGGTTTCTAATGACATCGTCGTCTGAAAGTAATGTCTAAGCTTGACATGATGGGGTTTGACCAAGCTTTGAATCACCACAGCCATCCTTTTGCTTCAATACATCTATCTGAATTCAAATCCAGAATTGGCAATAATTTGTAGATTCTAGATAGTACAGTATATTTATCAAATCTAGTTGGCAACCTCAGGACAATTCATCTGCCCATCCATGAGTCAAGCCAGATGATAGTTAAATTATTTTGTGATAGGAAGTTGTAACACATTGATGCTTCTCGGACAACTGCGGCGAGTCAACAGTCTGACATCCACACATGTATATTATATATTTATATATATGATATTATATAATATATATAATATATATATATCTATATATATATATGTTAATAATTTAAATGTATATATTAGGGCACATATTTTGTAACTCGACCAACGTATGCAATAAATTCGAGGTAACATGTTATCTCGCTCACGTAGGATGATTATGACTCACCTCTGTCAGGCGAGCTTGCCTTGCGGCGGGCAGCTCCGTGCGTGAGCGGTCGCCACGCTTTGTGCGAGCGGCTGCATGTGATCATCCTGCTGCTCTGTCTGTACCCCGCCCCGCGCCGCGCCGCGTGTTGCGTCGCATGCTGCCCTACATAGATGGCAGCACTCAAATATTTTATTTCTCTCTATTTTTTATCTAGTATATTTCTCAGTGGAATATTTTTGTTCTGTAGCCTGCGCTGCTGCTTGTCGCTAATATTCCTAATCGAATATATCGAATATTCCTAATTATTTTTTCGGGGAAGGTGTTTGGTGACACTTTGGATTTAATTGGGAGTTTTATGGCATCATGGAAAGTTGGAGAGCAGAGTAACGTGTGTGCCCTTCAAGGAAAGGTTGCCGAAGACATTTAATCTTATATTGATCTTACTATCTTAGATAGAATTAATCGATAGATAGATAGGCATAATTTTGTATTATCCACCCTTATAAATACAATATAAAACAAATAAAAATAAACAATTAAGGTGCTGAAATGCAAGAAATTCAGAAGGACTTGAAAAGCTATCCGTTCTATTTAACATTTTTAACTATCCGCTTAAGCGCACAATGGGCAATCAAACGCTAAGTTTCTCCAGTATAACTAGAATACTTCGTGTCACCATATACAACTACTTATGGCAGAATAAACTCTAGTTCCCTGCATTTCAATGCGCCGTTTGTCTTATAAAAGGTATTTGAAAATCCTGCCAATGTTGTTCAAATTCTCCGAAGATTGTTGAACAGTTTCCCAAGCAACCGTGCAGCGTGGCAGCGGTACAGCGGTATGGGTGATAGCAAAGATAAACATTGTGGTGTCACCCTAACACATTCGAGGGCTAAATTGTTTGGCAAATAGCCGGCGTTAGCGCAGAATGCCAGTTTTTTCTCACCTCTTTCTTGTGTGGTTTTAGCAAACGCGCAGTGAAATGGAGAGCAGCAACTAGAGTTTATTTTGTCATAAGGTAGTGTGACTTATGATGACAGGAAGTATTTGCTAGGTCTCAGTACTGGGAGAATATTAGGTCTTGGATGCACTGTGTGCCCGGCTTTAACTATCATTATGCAGGAGTTAGATAATTAGGGGAAGGAGTCGGACTCAATAAACAAGGGAAATTCGTCATGTTACCTGACTTATAATACCTACGATTTAACTACGCGTAAACTCATCAACTTGAGCTTCGAAATCGACACAGTAGCATCCGCCTACCGATCGTTGCGAAATCCTTTCCTCGTATACACCCGCAACTCGGAGATACAGACTAAAACGGACGACCGATTTCATCTCTTTGGCCATATCCAAATGGCACTGCCGCCTCATATTCAAGACACAAGGCAGGCCTACTAACGCACACTGTCACGGCTGCACTCACGGCGAGGCGCTGTAGCTCGCAGGGAGAATTTGAATTCGGCGATCGTGCTGCGATAGCTGATTGCGTGCGTGCGTGCCGCATCAGCGTTATGGACATTACAGGATATCATTGTAGGCTGTGTACCCGGTCGCAAGGTTTATCTCCGGCGATGTGTTGCGTTTGACTGCCTAATCATCGCTGCAGCCACAGCGGCCTCGCCGTGAGGCGAAGCGTGGACAGTGTGGTAGTAGCTGCCTTTTGTTTGAATATGAGGCAGGCCGTGATTTGGATTGAATGCCAAGATTGAAAATTCCGTGTCGTACGTTTTAGCATGTATCTCCGGATTGCAGGTGTATATACTACGAGGAAAGGAATTTCGCACGATGGTTAGGCGATGGTACTGTGTCCGATTGAGCTCAAGCTTGATGAGTTACGCATAGATAAATCGTCATGGTAGTTTTGAGGTAGTATAATGACGAATTTCCTGCTTTATTGATGCTCACGGATCTTCCCCTATTATTTATCCTGATCATAGCCCAAATTTACACTGACTCATATACCGCGTTCACACCGTAATGGTGTTGGCTCAAGCTAAATTTGGCGTCGGGCCCGGTTTGAGTCGGCGCGCGTTCACACGTACGCAAGTGAATACTGTCTGTCAAATTCAATTAATTCAAATACATTTTATTGCCACAATCTCAGATACTTTGGCAGTATGTCGCGAGATGGCGTTGGTACGATTCTCAGTGTTTACATCCGATTCCGAGTTCAATTATCAATCTTGAAAACATGCATCCTGATCAAATTTTTCCTAATTTTTATACTGTTTTGGACTTTATTTCGTTGAAGTACATGTTCGACACTCGCCGGCATCTACCACTTTACCGATTTAGTGGTGCTAAATTTGGCTCGGCCTGGTCAGACGTTTTCGATGGACAAATTGGCTCGTGCTAACTCGGCACCGGCCCCGAAGAACCGTCCGTGTGAACGCTCGGCAAGAGCCAAATTTGGCGCGGGCCTCATTAGGCTCGGGCCAAAAACGTCCGCGTAAACGCACCTAAAGAGATAAGTGAAAATGTGTGTCAGAAAACGAAGTTATATCAAGCATTAATTTTCTGGCCTAAAATATTTGGAAGGGAGCTATATGAATGTGTCTGGAAACCTTCAGTTTCAAACAGCCCCGCCAGTGAAGCAACAGCTAGGTTTGTCCCTCTGTCGGTGGGTGGGTGTTTTGGTAGTTGGGTTTGTGTGGGTAGATGGGCAGATTACTGCTTAGTGGATAGTTGAGTGGATAGTGAAGGTCAGGCTACAGGTATAGACAGGTTTTAAAATGCATGCAAACAGCTATCAGCTATCACTGCTCATAGGGTCTATGCCCATGCACCAGGGTACTGCCGAAACATACCCTGGGTACGGTCCGGTATACCGGAACGTACCCTGGTAACTATCTAGCTGATATGGTTAGGGTTAGAGTTAGGGTTAGGGTTAGGGTTAGTGTTAGGGTTAGGGAGTAGGCGTAGGCGACTCCCTAGACTCGTTAGTGGAGTAGGCGAGGTACGGTCCGGCATATTAGATAGTAGTATTTAGTACCAGGGTACATTCCGGTATACCGGACCATACCCAGGGTACGTTCCGGCAGTACCCTGGAGGACATAGACCCTATCAGCGCTATCACGCTGGTGAGAAATCTATCCAAATAATAAAATCATAAATTAACTCATACAAATACACGGAAATTAAATTCAACTTGTATAACCCATCTATCATTCTATGCAATGAAGATCACACCGACAACGTGAAACTTAATGATTTAATCACACTGTCAACAATAATAACTGCAGATGGAAACTTGTTCCACACACACTGTCACAGTGTTGATCATGATATATGTCAATTTCATTGGCTCTCCTGCGTCTTTACAGACCCGTTGACTACGGAGATTATTATAAGATAGAGGATATGATGTTACAAGAACATCGCCTAGTTTTAGATAATAACAGATTAACACGACCATGACTGTGACATCAGACATGATCTGATGACATTGAAATTTTAATGATTGATATACATATCGTCTGGACCGGTCGCGGTGTTTACCTTAGCGCCAGCGGTGAACGCGACGTTACTGTTGGTAAAAACCGGGCGGAAGCTAAACTTAAAACGGAATAAGTGACTCGTAGAACACGAGTTGCCATTGCGCCTTGTGGTTTACTAGTAATTTATAAGTGTAACCAAAAACATCAAATTAGTTGAAAGCGCGCAGACATACTGCGTACTTCACGCCATCTATAGTGATTTCTGTCAAGTGCGCATGCGTGTGTGCAGCTGTACTGAAGAGAGACAAAATGAGTTCAATTGGAAATAAAAAAGGTTCGATTTTAGACATTTTAAGGTAATAATTGACACTCGATCTCGAGTTTAACTAGTCGACAAGGTACTTAACTTTGTCGGTTTGTTTAGTTTTAGCGATACAAGCACGGAAGAAGCGGACAAAACATGCCAAACACAGAATTAAGCAACATGAACAAAAAAAGGCCGGACCACCAAAGGCATCGAATCAGGCAAAGAAGAAGGAAGAAGAGAAGCGGGACACTATCTCACGGGAGGACAGTTACACCAGTAATAAGTAAGTCCACCTTTATTACGTATACACATCTGTGACAGTCTGTGTAGCCTCACTTCGCCCGTGCCACTGCCACTGCCACTAGTACTGGCACTGCGACAACTCCGGTGACGACATGCAGCGCCCCCACGCAACGGCCGTGACAGCGTAGCGGCATTTGATGATGGATCAGCGACAAGCCGATTATCCTTCCTCGTAACATCACAGAAAATACTTGCAGACATAAGCAACATCTCCGTTACATACATGTACATTGCTGTTGCCGTCGCTGAATTTTACTCGCGTAGCGAATGCGCGCAGAACAACGACGATTGACGATGCTTCGTAAACTACCGTTACCGTTAATCTAGATATAACGGGTGTCTGCGGAAGATTGTGTTGGCGGTGCGCATGAGATACTTGGTTACAGTAAAATATGCTGTTAATCTAGGTCTCGTATGACATGGTCCTGGGGAAGATTGTATTGGTGGTGCGCGTGATCTACGTGAGCATATTCAAAAATGCATGAGCGCAGAGTCACGACATATGATAACAGGGTGCGAAATTAACGGGAGTCCGGAGTCAAATACTCCCTGATTTACTGCCGGACTCCCTGATTTGACGTATGCAGGAGTCCGTGTGACTCCCTGAAAATTCCAACCACCTAGTTCGTTCCAGAGCGCGGCCTCGTGGAATTACCGTATTTTTTCAGCTAATATCCAAAGAAAATTTGACAGACGTGCAACCGCATGATAAGCACATGCGTTATTGTTAATATCTTTAATTTTGAACTCCAGGATCGTGATCTATTGCAAGTTCAGGGCAAATGCTTATGCAAGCCTAGTAGAATGAAGTTCCCAACCAACCAGGATGGATTCCAGAAGGTGTAAAACACGTGCAGGCTGCAGCTAGGTGTAAAATAGGTACAAGCTACTGGTAGGTGTAGAATAGCTACAGGCTACTGCTAGGTGTAGAATAAGTACTGTAGAGCCTGTGCATGGCTTCATTTATATATTACCTGATGTAAAGGGTGGCTTCTCCCTCACCTGGTACTTTCCCTGAGCCGTGAGCACGTCGGCGAAATTCACTCCCGCATTCTTTACGGCAATTCTAACCTGCTCGAAAAATGCAAACCGAGGAATGTAAGACGACGAAAACTCAGCCTCACGCGCTTACTTATTTAAAGCGAGCATTTATAAATCAGTTGAAATGGTTTCTAATCATCGTCGTACTGAAAGAAAATGTCTAAGCTGACATGATGGGGTTTGACAAGCTTTGAATCACCAGACCACTCCTCTTGCTTCAATACATCTATCTGAAATTCAAATCCAGAATTGGCAATAATTATGTAGATTCTAGATAGTACACAGTATATTTATCAACTCTAGTTGCAACCTCCAGGACAATTCATCTGTCCATCTCCCATGAGTCACAGCCAGCTATAGGAAATCATTTTTGTGATAGGACGTTGTAAACACATTGATTGCTTCTCGACAAACTGCGGCAGAGTCAACAGTCCGACATTCACACATGTATATACATATATATATATATTCACACATGTATATATACATATATATATATATATATATATATATATATATATATGTGTGTGTGTGTGTGTGTATATAATTATGATGTATATCGCAATACATCGATGCCAATAATACAGACGTATATATTAGAACGCACAATATTGTAACTCGACCAACCTAGCAATAATATTCGAGGTAACATTGTTATCTCGCTCAGGTGGACGAGTTATGACCCACCTCTGTCAGGCCGAGCTTGCCTTGCGCGGGCACCTCCGTGACAGTGAGAGGGTCGCCAAGCTTTGTGCAGAGCGCTGCAGTGATCATCCTGCCTGCCTGTGTACTGTACCCCGCCGCCGCCGCCGCTTGTCGCGTCCGCCATGCTGCCCTACAAGATGGCAGCATTCAAATATTTTTATTCCTCTGTATTTTTTATCTGTATATTTCCTAGGTATTTCTGTATCTTGAATATTTTTATTCCTGTACGCCGCTGCTGCTGGTTGTCGCATCCGCGATACCGCCCTACAGATGGCAGCATAATATTCCTAATCGAATATATCGAATATTCCTAATTATTTTTCAGGGCAAGCAGGGGCGTGTACAGGATTTGTACCAGGGGGGGGGGGAAGTCTAACCGTAACCCCAACTTGCGAGCACGCAAACAATTTTGAAATTAGACCCCCTTAGATGCGTTTTCTGC